TCAAATCTTTCCTTCACCTTGCATTCAGAGCCTCATTTCGGTCTTGATTATCTTGATAATTTTTGTTAGGAGTGTAAGGAGTGGGTAATTCATTAGATCCCGTTTAAAGGGCGATCCAACCCTTGTGTAATCGATTCATTGATATGGGAAAAAAAGAGAAACAGAATGGCGAATGTTTAAAATATGAGATCACTAAATTAATGCGAATCTCAAATTGGCAATACTAGTTATATATAAAAATTTTGTGATGAAATTAACAAGCAAAATCATTGAAGGCACCTCAAATGCTCAATCCTACTAGGACATTATGAATCTGTAGCTTTCACTGCGAGTGTTAACATTCTAGTAATTAAGGATATCTCTTATTTTCTTCACAAATCGTCACATTCCATGCTAGGGCACATCACGTCACATCACAGGCTCAAGGTATCCAATTAAGTCATCCATCATCAGCTCATTAAGAGCATCAATTAACGGATGATAATACCAAACCTGGCTCTTGATTTCTTTCTCAATGATGCCTCTCTTGAGAGGGATACGACTGGGTGAGGAGAGGTGGTCCTTGGCAACTCTTAGAGATGTCCCCCCCCCCCCTTCCTGCCTTGGTTTCCTCTCGTGTCACGTGATGACATTCGCGGACTATTTTAGGACGGTATTTCACGGGAAAAACCTCAAATGTTGTTAACACGATGTGTTTCATCGCCCTGTTGCAGTGCAAGTTGTGTGATCTTCCCATTATCTTTAAAGAGGATGAAAGGATTCAGGGCTTGTAAACTTTAATTTACTTAAAACCCTTAGATATCACAATGGATTTTGTTGAGGTGAAAAGACTTGGGATAGCTTGTCAGTTTTTGCTGATTATTGTGTCCATAATCACATCTTACATCAAATCGAGGCACGTATTAGCTTGGATTTACAGGAAGTATGTGAGGATTTCACTTTGGTAATCCAAGTTTCACCTGTAAATCTCAGACTTAATACCTTGGGTTTCTAGGTATCAAGCTTTTCCCATCTCTCTCTTTCTCTGCCTCTCTCTCCTTTTTTTTTTTGTTTTGCTTTCCATGTCTATCCTGTTAATGCCTTTATGAAGGTAAAGTTGTTAAAAATCAATTATTGCAACCAGATGATTTTGATAAATCTTTCTTTTATGGGCATTATGGCTCATAATTATTCTACACGATTTTGTTTAAAGAATAGCTAAAGGTAAATTAAGCAGCCTATTACTGGGTATACATGAATGCAAGTAAATTATCAAGCGCTACTTCGGTATTTAAATGTGAACAAGTTGAAAACTTAATAATATTCCCATGAAGTATACACATATATGGTAGAAAGAATGACCAGCTTAGAATATAGCATAAGAAACTATACATGTACATCTATATTTGATAAGAATTTCTGACTATAACAAGTGAAAATGTAATTTAAAGGCTTTACTTAATCAATTTATTTTATTTTCCCCTTAGCTCTTGTTTGAATGAATAGAGACAACCTCTATATCTATCCACACATCCTAATATTTCTATTAAAATAGCCCTTTGTCGATGACTCAAGCCATTTTTAAACCCCAAATATTTGTTACTGAATTAACACAAAGGGAGAGCCCTGGCCGGGAAGGGTAATGATGTTATTTTTAGAACCCAAGTCTAGTGAAAAAGCATAGTCATCGATAAAGCAACAGGTGAGCTTGTGCTACAAAGGGCATTGTCATCATATGCCTAGGTGTTTTCTTTGTGCGTGTGAAAATGATTGTATCAACGAAGGTCACAGGACTAAAAGATATTCGCCTATTTTAGACATTTTTATGAGGGAAGAAAAAATTGATTAGTTCGCAATGGGATATTACTGGGCTTCACACTGTCATTTTGGAAAGGGGGTCCTGATCGAGGTGTTTAGAGTGGGTATGCATGAACCCTATGCTGAAATTGTGAGAAGAAAAAAATCATTTATTCATTTTTTTACATATTTTTTAATTTTATTTATTTATTTGTTTATTTATTTTTTATTTTTTTAAATTTTATTTATTTATTTATTATTATTATTTTTTTTTTTTTTTTTTGGGGGGGGGGGGTCCAGGACAAAAATAGTTTCTGGGCACCTATTAGTGTCTAGCCCTGAATATTATGTTTTTACCCAAATTTACCCAAAAAGTGATACACTGGGATGTTTTCGTGGTCAGTGAAGGAGTAGTTTTACGTTGATCTTGGATGAACAAGCACACAAGACTTGACAAAACCATTTGGTTATCATATACCTGCAGTGGAAAGAGAGATATTGGGGGGGGGGGGGGGGGGGGTCACCATTCAGAAAATTGTTGTCAACAAGGCAGCAAAACTGCCCATTCACGTAAACTTCCTGTCATCCATCTGGGCATGATATCCCAACTTAGTTTATAGAAGGTGAAGATGGATGTTTGTGATCGGAACCTCATCTCGGTAGCTTGACCTTGGCTCTTTCCTCCAGCTATAAAAATTTTCATAACCTACAAAGAAGATGCTTCTTGCTTGTAATGCTGTGTAATGATCAGTGTGAAGCTGTGAACCAATATTCATGCCCCTTTACTGGGTATTTTATTCACAGTTGACTCTTCTAACCCGGGTTGTAGTAAATGGTATCTGGTATTATTAGAATTGCTTGAATGCCTCTAGAACCTCAACTAAGGCCAGGGTAATAGTAATAGTGTCTCTGACAAGATCTTCTGGGTTTTTTCGTTTGATCAGCGTTGATTTCAAGTCTCCAATCAATTATAATCATTCCATTGCATGAAGCTTTCGCAAACCTGAACCCCTTGCAAAATATGATCATGTGGAGGGTTAAAGGGCATCCTTAGCTTTTCCCCTCTCTCTTTTTTCCTTTTCAATGTACATGCACCATTTTTTATGGGGGAGGGGGGGGGGGGTGGAGTTGTAGGTCGATTAAAATTCCTTTTACAGTTTTATCCATCCCTTCTTTCCCTCTTTTCTTCTCTTCCTGTTCTTTTCTTGTCTTCCTATAATCCCCTTTATTCTTAGTTCCTACATTATCAATTTAATAAGTGTGATTTTTGGCTGCTTCTTTTGTAATTGTTCTCTATTTTCTCTCTTTCTGTTTTCCTCCTTATCTCATTTATCATCAATCATAAACTTGATGGACATTATTAAATTACATGAGCCACTGCTTTTAAATGAATTCATGAAATTGGACATTGATGGGATTGTTTGGCACTGGAACAAAATATGTCTCCTTTTATATCAAAGCCACTATTCCCTATCGCTGTCACATTCAAATTTGAGAAGATGAAAAGAGGAAATATGTGTCAAGGTTATTCTTAGAGTCAAGGTTTCGATATCCTTTTTTGTACGTGTCAAGCATTGCAATGTCAAGGTTAGATGTACAGTCATTCCGCGAGAAGACAGGCTTGAGGAAAGAGCTAGTAATCTGGATAATTAGATGATTCAAGAGAAATTAAGGACTGCATTATTTGGTTATATTAAGCTCAAGATGTTTTAGTATAAACCCATCAAAACATTGTAAGGTACATGTTAGTGAAACTGAAATTGTGATAATCTCTGATGGACATGTTGGCAGAATGAGTACAGAATGTAGTCCATACAATTTGAGAGGCTTGTAAATATCACATTTATCAAGATACATAGTAGTAACTGTTTGTCGCAAAGCAACAATGACCACCTTCACTTTCACTTCACAGCTGTTCTCCATACAGCTCGCTGGCCTGAGGTAGTAGTCCAAGTCTTGATTTCGATTTGCCTCTGCTTAAGGTTCCGCTTGACCCTGTCCTTGTAGCAAAGCCGTGGTCAAGATACTTACATGTATGTCAAACATATAAATCTTTCATGTAGCAATGCACCCCCCCCCCAAAAAAAAAAAACTCTGAGAATGTAAAGGATGCTGAACTATCATGTATCTTGATAGTATAGTTACGCTCCTGGAGGGACTGATCTTAAGCGACTGATCTTTATTTTTTCATGTTGTTGATAGATATAAACCAGACCATGGATGCAGGTCGGTGCGCGACCCACCGATTGGGATCTTAACGATAGATCGCTTGTGTGTTTAAGGGTCTAGTCATAATAGTCTGGAAGTCAACTCAAGGAAGTCTGTCATTGTCCTTGATGTTGCAAGGATGTGGTCTGAAGAATCTCAGGACGATCTTAAGACAGGGATGTAGTCCTGAAGCATGTTTATTTTATTCTCTATCTCCTTCATCACCTCCCTGTATTAAAAAAAGGTAGTGAAGTTCAGCTTGCTCAGGGAAAAAAATTACTTAAAAAAGTTTTGGGGGCTACTTTTCAAGCATGCTTGCATGAAAAAAACACTCTTTAATTTGTTTTGCATTGAACTCTATGCAAAATTTGGGGGCTCTTTTAAGAATTTTTGGGGCTCTTTCAAGATTTTTTGGGGCTCTTTTGGGCATTTTGGGGGCTAATTTGCCCCGAGCCCCCATGTATTTTTTCCCTGAGCTTGCTTGAAGTACATGTATGGACTGAGGTAAATAGCCATTTAGTACAATGGAAATTTATCCCCAAAACTCAAAATTTGCATAATTGCATTTCATCTCTTAGTACAGTTCATCTACTCTTTCAGTCTAATTATGATTTTGTCTACCTCCTACTATCCCCTCTTGCTAGTTTGTCTAATGTACATTTTGACTTTTATCCATTTAGTATAATTCTCAGTCTGTCTTATTATTCCTGTTTGGTTTATCTGATCAAATTTGATTTGATGACAGTTATGCTGATGATGATTATAGTGGATATTTATGCTATTAAATGATAATGATAATAGTTTTATAGTTGATAATAAAGATTATATTAATGACTATTTTTATGTTGAATAAGAAAATTAGCTCCGATGTCGATGACTCGCATGTACTTGAATACATGTATTGGAACAGATCATTCCATACTAGAATCGTCTTCATTGTCTTTTATCAATTGTTGTGTCATGTTGAACAGAACATGTTTATAATCAGTAAATTATTCTGTATTCTATCCTAACAGGACATGTATGGCCATAGATCACTTCCGTACATCATCGGAACACCAGCCTTCATGCAAGATGATGATGTGGGACTGATGGACTTAAGCGAAGAAGGTATTAAAATATGAAGAAAAAAATTAAACAAAATATTCTCAAGTTGAACATAAAGGGCATGATGCAGAAATCCAACTAACGTCCTTTATACTAGTGCATATTTTTTTTATTCTTTGGAAGTTTTTCAGAGTTTTAGAAAAAAATAAAATACAATGTAGAAATACAAGTTTCTTCAAAACATGCTAAGGCTTTATTAAAGTCATTAAAAAATAAAACTATATGCTTCAAAGTAGATGTAAGAAAAGTACTGTTATGCAGTAAATGAAATATGAACATAGCACTTTTGACACAGGAAAATCAGTGTATTCAGTGCAGTTTGTATTCCCTTTTTTGACGGCAACTTATAATTTCGTTCCCCAGATAGAAATATTTCTATAAGGCCAAAATGAAGAATGCTAATCAGTCAGGTGCAAGAAATGTCAAAATTGCTACAAACGTAGAAAATATTTTCAATTTGTGCCTAATCCGTGAGATTAATGTTTGGATTAAGCTACCATCTCAATGGCTTAGTGATGTCACAAAGCTCATTTCTTCTGTACCTACTAATCTCATCCTGTTGGGCTTAATGAAATGTTGATAATGTTAGCTTGTAGATGACATTATGATATTGATTGGCATCTATTTGTGTAGTTACATCTATGAAGTAATTGCCAATATATATATTGAAGAGGCATATTAAAGAAAAGATTCAAGTGTTAAAGGATACTACATACTAGACTGTCATGAAAATTGTCTCATGGATTACAGCACCAGATTGAATTGTCAATTTATCTTGTTTTAAATGCAACATGTATAACATGTAGGATACAATTCAATTCAAATTCAAATCTTTATTTAACCTTCATAAAAACAATTTACAGTGACAATATAGAAGATAATAGGGTCCTAAGGATATCTTATTGTTTATATCAAATTTTCCCTGGGTCTTTAAAAAAAATCTTTTTGTATTTCTATTATTTTCTCTGATCTTTTTCTAGTACTTCACTCCATCCAATCAAAGTAACTTGTATTTGGGCTGGACATTCTCTTTGAAGATATGTGCAAGAATTGGAAATGAGTTTGGAAGTCCAAACACTTATTTTGATTTTGTTTCTTTCTTTGATTTCCAGAAGTAGAAGACGATTCAAGCGTGGAAACTCTCAGTGACTCAGAGAAGTCGGAACTGTCAGATTCTGAGGTATGAAACACTACGGGATTGATATTCAATGTAGTTGTATTCTTTTCCAGAGTCTCTCAATTTACCAACATAAAATCAAGTGAATGGGACTAAGTCTTAATAATTTATTTCAAGCTTAGAACACAGACACTCACACAAACACTGAAACATTTGACCATGATGTGGAAGGCTACTAATTGACATCAATTTTTGTGTCCTATTATTGTGTCAAATCGGACCATTTTTGTGGTTGTAGACGTTTCTTGCCATGGCGACCACCCACCGTGTCATCCCTCTTGGTCGTCTGGGCTCCTCTCCAAGGAAATGGCCCATTTTCTCACTGGGTCAATTGCTTAATTACATATGACAATTTTAATTGAAGTTTTCCACCTCCTGCCTTGCACGTGAGAGAGCTACGGTGTCCACATGGTTTGTTTCCAATTAAAGTGGAAATGAGAACCATGCCCATTGTCATTAAAGCCATGTTGTTTTCCCAGTGGGTCCCACTAATTGATTAATTCTGTAGGGTCCCTGTCTATCTGTCGGTCTGTCTATCATACAAACCATTTATCATTGCGTGTGCCCAAGAGAGACTAAGACAGTGAAGTTAATGTGCATATAAATAGAGTAATCATGAAATGTATGAGTTCTACAATAGATATGTAGAATCATTCAAAATAAAAACCTATCTACATGGATTGTACTACTTCTTCTTTACATGTGTATCTTGTATGTTTTGCATCAAATTTGGAATGTACAAAGTTTTATAATATGTTATACAATATTTAATTTGCTATACGATATTTTATATACTTGGTATTGATATGACAAACCAAATCCACCAAATCATTTTGATTATGTATTTACAATCTAAAGCTAATTTCAATCAAAAATTCATGAATAGACAAAACAGAACTTGCTTGCGAAGTTCAGAGATAAAACAAAGCTTAAAGCCCCACTGCAATATTATCTACTTATATCTACTTGCGCCCTCTATATAGCAAACAATGCCTAATTGGTGACCATTGGTCCCCCATGATCCTCTTATGTTAATTGAGAGCTTATTTGGTGAGATAACCACCTGTCAGGGACCATGCAGGGAGGTATAATCCTTTCTGGCCAAACTAGTGCAGTGGGGCTTTAAAAAGCACTAAGTTGTCATTGATTTACTAATATTCTTCTTGTTTTCTCTACTTTTGTTAGTATTCCGATACAGAGACAGAGTCTGAGTTCACAGGAGGGCGACAGAAGATGACGGCTGATACAACAATGGCATCCACCAACAGGGTACAAAGCATGACCTGTGCATGCATTATTACCAGTTTATGTTTCCCACCAGTGTTTATGAATATATTCTTTACGTTTTGGAGGGAGTGGGTAATTATGTTTTGTGTGGGGGAGGGATGGCAGAAGAATGAACAACTTTGTTGAAAATAGGAAAAGTTAAACTACATCATCAAAGATATTGTATATTGGTTACATGACAATGGAAACAGTTTGATTGTAATTTCATAAATTGTTCTCCAGTTTAAACTGTAACATTAAAGATGAGCTTGATACAGCTGGACTGATGATTATATTTACTTAATGTTTCAGAAAGAGCCGGGTTATTGAGGTAGCTATGGGAGTTCCTCTTTCATTTTGTATTCAAATTTGTTGCTACTCAGGAAACACTTATCTGGTACCTCAACAATTTGGCTGTTTTTCTGTTTTCATAAAACCACAACAATTTTAGATCGACCTGCCTATACTTTAATGGACCTATTTCATTTCAAAGAATATGATGAGAAATGGATTTCATAGTACTTTTACAAATTTGTTTGAAAGAGTGATAGCAGGGGTGTTTTGCATGTTATCCTTTGATACATATATGTTCTACACAGTGAATCAGTGAAGCTTGAATTAGCATGTCAGACACGAATGTCGTCACAGTATGCACTTCACTTGTGTGTCATAGAGGTCCCCCTTCAGACACCTACCCCTTTAGTGAATGGTCCTTGTAGTGGTTACCCAGTATTCAGGTCCCCATAGAGGGCGATATTTCAAAGGTCAATTACATATACAGTCAAACCTGCTTTAGCAAACCACCTGTCTACAGAGACCACATTTCTTGTTTCCCTTGAAAATGGTTTCTCATTGAAATGTACTAAAGGAACCTGTCTACGAAGACCACTTTTTGTGTTTCCCTTGGATGGTCTTTATAGACAGGATTCACTGCACATCCATTTTAAAGATTGAACTTTAGAATTCGTCATAAAGCACAATGGATTGAGAGAAAAAAAATCCTATTATTGACTGTAATCACTCCCATCAAGTCAACACTATCAACACAATAAGAAGAGCTTTGAAATAGACTTTTATATGTTGTCAAGTTATATATGCTAGGTGATTAGATATTTCAATTTCAATTTCAATTTGATTTCTGTTTCCAACAAAACATTACAAATCAATTATAATCATTTACAAACATGTAGGAATACATACTGGAAACATGAGATATTGCAGTTATGAGAAATGATCCATGGATCTTATCTTGTCTTGTCCATTTACAAAAATTTAGGAACACATATTGGGAACATTATTTATTGCAGTTATGAGAAATGGTTTATGGATCTTATTGTCCATTCAATTAGGGCAGGGAGACTGGGGGGGGGGGGGGGGGGAGAGAAAGAGTTCAACACCCTTGTTTTGTTTGTGTATTGCATGCTGAACTAATCTAACCCAATGACCTTTTGGCTAACGTACAGAGTGAATCGGAGGACTCTGATACCGGTCTGTTTGATGATGAGGAACCATCAGACCAGGAGGCAGCAGCCCAGGTATACACACATTCTATCCTCCATCTTACATGTAGCTTCTCCATCATTAAAACCCCTTTCAGACACGAGGCAGTATACGGCTTAAACAACCACTGTACTGCTTGTAGCTACTTGCTCCCTCTATATAGAAAAAATGCCAAAGCGGTGCCAGTTAGTCCCCTATGATCCTCTTTTTTGTATGTTAATTGAGAGCTTAGTTGATGAGATTACCACCTGTCAGTGACCATGCTGGGTGGTCTAATCCCTCCTGGCCAAACTATTGCAGACAGGCTTTAAAGAACCACTGTGACAGAAATTAAATTAAACAACTGTGCCTATCGTATCTTATTACACAAGGATCAGTGAGGATGTATAAAGGAAATTGTTTCAAGCAGCCATGTTTTTTCTTTCCACCCATAAAATCGTCCCTATTTTCACGAAGTGACGGTAGTGAATGAAAATCGCATACAATTTGCGTGCGGATTTTCCTCAGTACCGTCACTTCGTGAAAACAGGAACGAAATATTGCCTCTCGTCTTCATTATCCTCCAAAGTTTTGCTGCAATTTTGTTTTTAGGTGGTTTACTGTCTCATGTCTGAATAGAGCTTCTTTCATCTCCTCTATAGTATGCAAAGCCTATCATCTACCTCAATAGAAATTATATGTATTCAAACATCTAAGATATTCACAACATTTTAGTAGAGATGTTGTGGTTGTGATTCACCATCTTTATATTCTTTACCTTTCTTTCTATCCTATCCATATTAGCCATTTTTTTATTGAAAAATCTATAGCAAGGAATTGTACTCGGATAAAGAATTGTAAATGAACAACAAAATTATCATTAATATAATTTGAATAGATGTACATAGTAGTTGTGTAAAGATTGAATTTGAATTTAGATTAGGTCTGCTAGTATTGATGTTGAAGTGCATGCCCTTTCCTCAAGTGTGGTGTCCTTAATGTGCACCAAGAAATGTATGCCGATAACCATTATCACTGCACCCATCCCCGCATGATCTGTGAAATGTACCAGTATTTTTTGTTTGGGATATTTTTTCCATTTTGTTATGACAAAACATGTCCTTGTACATGTATTTGGTTGATGTTGATTTTTCCTTCTGTGTAAATCAGCAGTTTAATTTTGTGTGTACGCCTTGGTTCTCTATTATTTGTAGTAAAATTGCTAATTAGTCAATTGATCTGTTTTCTAAGGTATATTCCGTGCACAAATATAAGTTCCTCAATGAAAAGTATGAATTGATAGCATAGAGTGAAATCATAATGAAAGGCAGAAAGCTGTGCAAATCGATTGACTGAGATATGTAATCAGCAGATGCAACAAGGGCGATATCTGTAAATAAAATCTATATTAGTTTTACAAATGTATGAGCTGATTTCAGTTGTATAGATAATAACTAGAAAAGTAGGAAAAATAAAATGTATTTTATTATTTTTACCTTTAAAAAGGTAAATGGATACCAATCAATAAGCTGTACTTGTAATGAGCGTAATATATTTCCATACTAACTCTTGTTTGTCTATGTACATGTACCATCTCAGCCTGTGAACTTCCAAGATGAGCTATCAGCCAAGCTAGGAGGAGGTATGACGAGGGGTGCACAAAACCAGGAACCAGGAGAAGTGACAGGTGAGAGACCACGCCCTTCTACCAGTCCTTGCTTAACCCGTTGACTATTGTATTTTCAAAGTCCCATGGGCTTAATACAGGGAACACCCGGTTTCCATAGCAACGGGTTAACATGTGATCTGAAATGGGGACATTCAGAGTAATCTATTCCAGAAAAAAGGAGAAAACAATTTTTTGGTTTTTGATAATAAGTCCAAGTAATGATAAGAAATATTACATGAGAATTCAACCAGTCACCACCACATATTTGTCTTATACATAAATATTATTGGAAAATGAATCACGAGTAATCAGCACGCTAACATGTACATGTATACATGTATATATAGCCCTGTATATACTGTATTGAGCAGTTTCTTTGAAGCATAAATAAATAATAATAATAATAGCCTAATAGTCCACTCCAAATTTTATTAAACCAAAACGGAAATTCTTTTTGCCCAATTGATCATATTAGTCTTAATGAATACGGAACGCGGCAAAATGTAAGTATGTACTGTCAGGCTACCACCCAATATTCGTAATTCCCCCCTCTTTGTATCATCTAGATGAATCCAATAGAAACCGCACCATCTCGGAAGACAGCAAGACATCATCTCAGGAGAGCTCCAAGAAAGGAACGAGGAGAAAGAAGCTTCCACTGGACAGAGAGAAGAAGAGCAAGAAGAAGAGATCAACGTCCAAGGCTGAAGGTAAGCGAACAATAATCCAGGGGAGTGTTTCACAAGGACTAAGATCGTCTCAAAGTTGGACTTAAAGATAAAGTTGAGTTCTGGTCATGTGATTGCATTGTGAAAGAAACGGTGTGGACTCGATCAGAAAAGGTTGATCATCTAGCATATAAGTATTGGTGTGTACTGCAAGGTTCTGGAATCATCAAAATGATAAGAAATTTGGTACAGCCTTGGTAAAGTTGCAAGCACTGTACACAGAAAGATGTATATGGGACTACACACACGAATAGATAAACTAATTTACTAAATATATCAATTAGAAGGCGGTTTTCCCGGCAAAATTTTTATCATCATGTATTAGTCAAAACATATTCTTTCACATGATTGGTAATGAGAGCTTCCATTTCATTTTTTTGAGAGAAGGGCGTTTCCAAAACTGGTCTTTACCTTTAAGTTGGACTTAACTATGGCAGGCCGTTCATGCCGCTGTTTTCTCTCACCATTTACTGACATTGGTTTCTCAAGGGACGTACAAATCATGGTCACAAATCTGCAGAATTTAAATTTGTTGATAATTCATTATTGAGGACAAAAATATTATCTAAAGATCATAATGGTGAGAGCAAACAGTGCATGAATGGCCCTGCTATAGTTAAGTCCAACTTAAAGTTGATCTTGGTCTTTGTGAAACACTCCCCATATCATAGATGTAGATGTAGGAGATCATCCAGTAAGTCACAGTTGGTGCATGTTATCTCTTGGTTCAGTATTCTACTGATTCAGTACAACCTGACCCTGGATTGAGGATCAGGTTTAACAAAGGAAAACTTAGACCTCAGGCCAACTTCCTTTGTTGAACTGTAGCACGCACATCGTCTAGTGTAAATTTGAGTAGGACTTGGCCTAGTAGTTCAAACTCCTTGGGCTAGTATTTATATAAGACCTCTACTATGTCAGTGGAGTCCACAAATGCATCAAGTGCAAAATATCAACCTCTTCATCCCCTGAAAGTGACTATAATTTTGTAACTAGATCTCTTAATATAAATCATGTCATGGTGAAAAAGCTTGATATCATTTTCAGATTTCTTTTTTCCCCAAATCTTTAAATTGAAAAAATTAACAATTATTTGGGAGGAATGGAGAGGAAGACACTCAGTGCTCTGTCTGTACTGCTTTAAACTGTAGAGGGAGCCTCACTGATTTCTTCCACATCTGTGGTTGAGCTGCATGTAGATGTCTGAGTCTCATATGAGATTTGACTTCAAGCAGTTATTGAATTAGTGTGTACACTGTACATGGAAACTTGTATTGTATTGATGACCTGGGGGGTGTTTCACAAAACTTGTCATCAGTGACAAATGAGAGTTTTTGTTATAAGCTACTGAAATACTTGCTTCTGATTGGTTATCAACAGATTTGTCACTGATTTTTGTCATTTGTCATTGAAAAAAGGCTTTGTGAAAAAGGTCCCAGATGGCACAATGCTTGTATGACGTTTGTTAAAGGGATCATTATTACCACTGCAAAAGCTGAAAATGAAATGAATTTGTGTAATCGTTAAAGACATTGTGTCTGTCAGGTGTATTAAAATCTCTCCCAAATCTTGTTTGTACATGTCTATGAAGTTGTAGATGATTTTGCACATGAATTATCTTATTTTGTGAGGGGGGGGGGGGGAGCACTCAAAGACTTTTGTTGGCACATGACATGTCTAGATGCAATGTACATTTGGTAATCACATTGTTTAATGGAAACTGTCAGGAACAATTGGATTTTAGGAATCCCCAATCCTCCCCCTCTCTCACATGGTGCAACCACAAGCCTACTGTATAAATTGGATTATTGTTGTCATTAATTGGCTTGTATCCGGGGTCTCTTTCAAAAATAGTCATCTACAGTATTAAATGATTGAGAGATAACATCTTGCCTTTATGATCATTTCCAAGCTACTTATACAAAAGGCATTGAGCCAATTCAGTTCACTGCTTGCTTCGGAAACAATAGTGTTTTCTATTTGTGGGTAATCCACACAATTAGCTTTTGATCGAGATAGTGAAATAACCGCAGAACGCTTGTACTCTGACAATCGTAGCCTCTTAATCTCTGTGAGGATTAATCTACAAATATCAATATGGATTAGGAGGGGATTAATGAAGGAAAAAGCAGGAGCCCGTAACCTGCTTGGTTGAGATAAAGACGGGAACGAATCTATTAAAGTAAGATAGCTGGCCCTTGATTGACAGGCAGACTTGTTGCTGTGAGTAACAAGGTTTTGTGGGCGTGGCTCTTGGAGGGGGATTTAGAGGGGAGCGGTTCAGTCCCCCTCTCAGCTAGCTGTAGGAAGCTATCTATTTGGTTGTGTGTCATGCTATCTGACCTGATGGGATTAAGAGGATTAACCATGTACCATGAGCATCGGGATTATGATGTTGTAGAAGATGCATGTTTACAAAGTTAGGTAGTGATGAAAATATTCATATTTGAATACAGGAATACATAAATATGTTCCAACCACAACTGAATGATTCAAAGTTGTAGATTGACCAGTGAGACTATTTAATTGAATTTTTATTAGTGTAACGAGTGAGTAAATTTCCTGCTTAGAAAATATACCAATTAGTTTACATGAACATGTAAATACTACATTTGGATTCAAGAAAAATAAGATGGTATATATAAAAAGATAATCTAGAATAACTGTATTGTACAATGTACATGTAGTATTACATGTAGGTTTGATTGCTATGTAAATAAGTTGTAATACATTTTGTACAATATAAAAAAAAATAAAAAAGGATCATTATAAAATAACAGATTGTATGCTTTAGTGATTTTTATATTTTATTGTTATTATTATTATAGTGATTGTATTTCTAACAGTGAGTGGAGTTGTAATAGAAAACATTATTGTTATTTCAGTGATATCTTTAAACAAAGAATTTTACATTTAGCAAGGTAAAATGAGAAGGAAAATGGGTTAAATTAAACGGAACTTAATTATTTTTTTTAATCTTAATTAATTACTATTATTTGTTTCTTTTACATCTTCAGATGATAATCTATTTGGTGAGCAGCCTGGCCAAGGCGAAGGAGAAGTTGACGATTCTCCGTTCGGCAAGAAAGGACTCTTCAGCAGCTCCGGTGGTGGTCTCTTTGATGATGACAAGGAGGAGGATGTAAGAAAAGCCTACATTTTTTCTTGTCAATATTTTTGTTGCTATAGTGATAACATTGATGTGTATGCTTTGGTAATAATGTTGATGTCGTAACTGTTATAGCCATTTATGTAATAGATGGAGAAAGGACTGTTTCGTCATTCAGATATGGATCTTTTTGACGTTGAAACAGATGATCATATGTATATTGATGTCCATGATTACATTGTTACATGTATAGAGATGATGGTGATGGTGATGATGATGGTGAGGATGATGATAATGATTACATTTTACGTTAGAGCCGAAAATGTCATAGATCTAATTTTGTATAATGCGTTCAAGCTATATTTTTTCCTTTATATCCATGCAAAGTTTTATTTCTCTTCAAACCTCTAAAACATTTCTTGAGATAAGTTTTGTTTACACATTTTTTCCTCTCGTTTTACTCACTTATTTCACCTTGAGGCCCTCACCTTCCTCTATGTGCCATAACCGATTAAATTTCACCCTGATTTAGTTATGATAGGTCCAATCCCATCTGACACTCCCTTTGTGTGTTAATCCCTTTATCCACCTTTTCACCTTGTGTGGTCTCGGTGAAACATAAGCCTAACCTAAATTTAAAATTTACTGAAAGATTAAACTCACAGTTATGATTAGCATGGGAAGAGGGACCTCATTTGAAGTAACCTTATAGTTGAGGACAGCACAGATGCACTTGTGGTTTCAGAAACTCAAGTTTACTAGAAGTTTTAAACAACAAGCAATCTTATGTTTATCGCGAAAATAGCAAGCAGCAAGGGGTCTTTTCCCAAAGTTACTGTATGTGCTGTGCAGACATAATTAGATTTGAGGTTTTGTCAGCTTGTAGTTTAATACTACAATGGCTTGCCTGGCTTGTAAGTTTAAAACTTAGGGCAGTGATTTGGTACGATGTGAACCTGTGACATTGTTATTGGATTGTTGTGTAAAACTTCCCTAAAAGTTAAAAACTATGACAGTGCTGTGTGAGCAATGATTGGTTGGAAACCATCGTTAGATTATGACGCAAGCTTTGGCAACAAGATAAGGCCTTTCTATGAAATCTCCATTCGGTCATAGTTTAGTATGCATGAGTAACCTTTTGTTTATTTTGTTTTTGTTTACAATATTTGTGAATTGCTGGATGTGAAGGATCTCACTTAACAGCTTCCTTTTAAATGAAAAACTAAACAATTGTCATCCAATGGCACCTTTCCCACATGAAAATACATTTACAAGACCATTAGTATGAATTTAGTGCGAGTACGCTCGACCTAGTAGTAGTATGAATTATGTTGAATCCTTACCAAGATTACTACGTTGATGGTGAAAAGTTCTTTTGTTTCAATTTGCGTTTAGGTTTGTAAATGATGTCTTTGTTGCACTTTAACAAAATTCTGAAGCAGTTTATGGGCCTTGCACTGTAACCAACCCTAACTCTCTCTCTCTCTCTATTGGTCTTTCTTTCTCTTTCTCTCTCTCTCTCTCTCTCTGTCTCTGTCTTTCTCTGCCTCTCTCTGCCTCTCTCTGTCTCTCTCTGTCTCTCTATTGGTCTTTCTTTCTCTCTGTCTCTGTCTCTGTCTCTGTCTTTCTCTGCCTCTCTCTGTCTGTCTGTCTGTCTCTCTCTCTCTCTCTCTCTCTCTATTGGTCTTTCTTTCTCTCTCTCTCTCTGTCTCTCTCTCTCTCTCTCTCTCTCTCTATTGGTCTTTCTTTCTCTTTCTCTCTCTCTCTCTGTCTCTGTCTTTCTCTCTCTCTCTCTCTGTCTTTCTCTGCCTCTCTCTGTCTCTCTCTGTTTCTCATAATCTCTCACTAACTTCCTCATTGTTGATCGCTGGCTGTCTCTTCCTCTCTCGTTTTCTTCTGTACTGTACTTCACTCTCTGCATTCAGCGTATCTTGAGCTGTTCTTCAAGCTCTCAACCTAACATCCATACCTTAGGGACAACATACAAAGGATATATTTATTGAGGGGGAATCGAAATGAGGAATCAAAGACATGACACATGGGATTCTAGCAGTAGGTTGACCCGCAAACTGTAAACAACTCTGAACCATATCAAAGCATGTCTTTATCCATTCCTAATGCAGTTAAGACATAACATCCCTCCCTCCCATCTCAGTTACTGTAATCTTGTTGTGATATCACCCTTGCATATTGTATAGCATATACTAACTGTAGTCCCACTTGCTGTGATTCATGTTGCTGAGTCAACCCAATAAAGATTGATAGAGACAAGAAAAATTATCCACTTTTCCAAAACAAGTTCCCTTGGAGCTTGTCTCTTATTGTTCCTCTCTATGACAATCGCATCTGGTAGCTTCACGTCACTCGAGTAGCACAGGAGCTAATAAGGTCTGTTCACATTGAGGGGGTATTGAGTCTGTCTTGTTGCGCTGGATAGCCCAGTGATAATGGCTCTTTTTTTTTTTTTTTTCTTCTCCTACAGACAATTTGTATGCATCTCGTACTGAAATTTGGGCTAACTACTTAATTTTCCTGGTTTTCCAGTAAATTGAATGGATTCTTTTATCATGCTACATGTAAATATACATTTTATAAACCCATATGAACCTTCTGCTATAAATTGAATAAGGTGAATCAGGAAGAGGGACACCCCACTGAACATGATAAAAGATGAATTAGCTTCACTGAATAATGATATTTAGTAATTGCTGTATTCTCCTTGGCACAATGCTTTATAAGGGTGCAGTACATGGAAATCCCCCTCGCCCTCCCCCTCCAATCTCTCTCCAATCTCTCTCCATATCCCCATAATATATCGAGCAAAAAGGGCCTTGTGCAATATTTGTATGGAAAAAAGAAAGAAAAAAATATGCTCTACATGTGTAGTATGGAGCCCCTGCTACATATATGTTTCTATTTATAGCAACCACATAAACTCTTTTAATTTGTTAATATCTTTATGATTCAATTATTGTTTTATTATCGCAAAATATGGTGTAATGAACAGGGGCAAACTTGACCAGCTTTTGCCATTTGGCGGTTGGCTCCATTTGCCAAATGTAAATTGATTGTAATGATCTAATAAAAAGTATCTGAACATTTGGTGAGAAATGAAGTGAATGAATGAGCCTCTCTGCCAGCTATAAGTAAGTTCTTGAAACACAATATGAGACTGTAGGAACAGTCTATGCTCGTAGTTCAGTGGGTTGTTGATGGGGTTCAGAGGATGTAGGTTCTTAATTTGAATAAAGAAAAGAAGAGTTTTGTCTACTTGCTGTAATGCAAGATTTGTGCTTCATAGTCTCAGATTATCAGGCACACTGAAGGATGATTGTATTCTTGATTGTAAGTCTTGTCGCTAGAGTTTCTTTTGAGGAGAAAGAATAAACTTACTATCACTGATAAATGTACCAGTGACTAAATGTTCCCAGGACTGAATAAGAAATGTTTTGGTTTGTCTCTGGTGTTTGATGAAATGTAACAAGGATTTCTCCTTTTCCAAGATTCTTGACAGTCATTCCATTGTTCCCCCGAGCGAAAACAAGTATATTATGTGGTTTCTGCCATGCAAAAGTCTCTTTGAATATAGCTATCTATGCTATGAAGAATTCTACACCCTACAGGCAGATATTGCTTCTGTGACCTAGTTTTAGGGTCTGAAAACCCAGTCTATGCATTGCATCTTCGGAGGTGTTGAGAGAGGCAATATACCAGGTTTCCAAGATGATCGCAACAAGCTTTGTGCCGACTCCACCAAGATCCGAACATGGCTCCCTGAGCCGTCTCATTGTCGTGACACGCCATTCTAGCCCCCCGTCCATCGTCAAAACCACCAAGCGGTTCTGGAGTGGAAACATCAGCATGGGTGCTAACATCTAGGTGTGGCCATTCCTTTACCCTTCTTTCACTCTTAAGGCGGTATCCTGCAGGATTCCTTGTTAAGGGTTTTACCTATCTTTGCCGGGGGATATGGCAATAGCCTTCCCCCCTGATGCGAGCAAGGATGACATCTTTGTGTGCTTGGCCACGTATGGTGACAGTCGCGCCATCATGAGACTGGACCAAGGAAATTTCTCTATGACGGTTGAAGGATACAAGAACGTCTCCCCGATACGCAAGTGGTTGTCCAAGTCATGCAGGAGCGTTCCCAGTGCCATCAAACGCCTCAAGGGCAGTCAGATTGCGGTCAGTTTTAAAATTAGTTTCGCAATGGAAGATGTGTAGTAATTTTTAAAGGGTACAGTGAGCAAAGTCTATATAGTTATAAGGATCTCTTGAACTTACAAAGTATAGGTTGTAAGAGTAGCCAGGATTCTTTTAGTGGACATCGTTTGAGGTCTGTTTCAAATGCTCTCACAAGCAAGTATAAATGTCTATCGTAATAGTACATGTAGTGTGATAGCTGCTGTATGAGATGTACATCCACTAGAATGTACTTGGTTTGGTGTGTTGAGATGCATGTTGTTAATGCAAAGTGATGTATCACCTGTCAAAAGAGTGAAATCGTGACCAAAAAGGTTGCAGAATGGATGACGCATAGTGCCTTCCAGGGTAGCGACAGACAGCCGATCACCAACCTGAAAGAGCACCCAGACCTTGGTGTCAGTTGCTGAGGATGCTGCCGTCACGATGATGATTAACCCTACGTGGTCATGAATGTTCTTGAGAAAATCCCTTGCCCCTATAGAAACACCCTCCAAAGATTTCATGTCACCATCACATGAAGTTTTACTCCTAACCACTCTGCCAAGAAAGGCATTTTCCCTTTCAATCCGTCGGTTGCCGCAGGTTTGGAAGAGCAGTCGTGATGTGAAGGTGGTGGCAGTGTCTAAAATACTGGACATGGGTTGAACTCCTCTGTACGCCATGTATTCACATCATTATCATCTTGTTTCTTATGTTCAAATCCAGGGAGGACTGTTTGATGATAAACCATCTGCAGCTGGCAGGAGGGATGTAACGTCAGACCACGTCTATGAGGACATTGTCAGTAAGTCAAGCTTTACATTTTTACATCAATCATATAAAAAGGCAAGAGTATAATCATTGATGGTTGGTACAGGTCTGTATGAGAGTAAGAATACTCATATATGTTTCATGTTTCTTCACAGTCATGTGCACTCCTCTTGTCTGTAATGTTTCTTACTGTAAAGTCTCAACTGATTTGCCGTCTCTTTGTCTTTTACATACAAAAGTATCATGGAGTCGTGTGTACCAAGCAGTATGATTACATTTACCTCATACCATTACATTGTAGCTTGCGAAATTCAGTATTTTGGACACTTTTGTGACTCTTCCTAATTTGATTACCATATGATATTCATAATTGTCATTATGTTTAAGTTGATGCATCCAAAGTTTGCTAATTTAAGGTCTGTACCTGTCAGGTCATATCAACAATTCTACCTCTAGTATTCACATTTATTGGTATATAAATTGGTATACCAGAAGGTTGCCAATTTGAGCTTAATGTGTGCATATGATTCACTCTACCTCATATATTCATAATTACTTCTCTCATGGGTTGACGTTATTTAAAAAAAAACTGTTACGATGTACCTCAGCTTGTTGCCAATTCAAGAGTGATATAGATCTGCGTATTAGTGACTATACTGATGTATGTATAGTCATCATTTTCATCTGGGTTGAAATTCATACTTTTAATAAACGGATATATCAGAAGGTTGCCAATTTAAAGAAAGATGATATGCACATATCAATGACTCTACCTCTATAGTCAATATTCATAATTATTTCTCATGTCGGTTGACAACCAGGACATAATAACACCTGAATCAATTCGCCATTTCATAATGTAATCAAATTTAATGTATAGATCTTTTTTATTTCACCTGTTACAAATAAATTAATTTCAATAATCGTTGCTACTTATTGCTAGGTAGGACAAACATTATGGTTTGCCCTACCTAGCAACACGTAACGTATGTTATGTATACAATTCGCATTCTGACTAATAAAATATAATTATTTTTGACAGGTGAATGAAATCATGTGTAACATGGCACTTAACAACACCTTAGTATTTAAATTACTAAAACAGTCTATTCAGTAATATCCCATTCAAATATGAGCCTTATTTCCTTCCTGAATTGTGTGTTACAAGTAGGAAGTAAATGTGAGAAAAGTATTCCCTTACTGCACCACAAATGACACCTTGCTACTCAAGGTATCTGGTACATCTATTAAACATACAGTAATTGTTTAAAACACAACAGAAATAACAAAATTGTAACATAAGAACTGGAAAGTAATCTCCATAAGGTATCATTTTTCATGACAAACTTCCGGGAGAATTGGAGCTCAAATTTCCTGTCATATCCCAAATCACACCTCTCTCGCTTTTCCTCCTTACCTTTCCTCTGAAAAAGAGGGGATGAGAAAATACTCTCCCGATTAAATTCTGTAGTCATCCCTTTCTATCTGTTGATTTTTCTCTTTCTTTGATTCCGCTCCTGGTAGAGCGATTGTTTTTCTTGTATTAAAAGAACAAGCTTCCAGCGTGTGATTCACAGACGATCCTAAACTCATATCCTGCAGGGATTAAGATTTCTCTCATCTTTTTCCAGTCATTATTTATTTTTGTGGAGGGTGACAGAGCAAGCGCAAGAGTTCTTGTTGGTGAAATAACTGTTAGCAGAAAGGCCTTCTTTCCTGATGAGGGTAGCTAGGGAATTGTTGGATAACAAGCATGTAATAAGAATCTGGAATCAGTAAAGGGTCAATTTTATGACATACAAATATGATGGTGTTAAATACACTGATTGGTAAAACCACTTGAGTAGTTGTAAAAAGGATTTTTTTTTTTTTAAGAAGTAGCTCCTCTCAGAACAAAAAAAGGAAACAATTCTTTTCTCTTATCTCTCTTTTTCTGTCGACCTTCAACCCCAACAGTCATTTTCAGGACTACTCAAATTGTGTACTGTATACCCAATCACTATAGAATTAATCATTCACCGCAAGACCTCTAAATGTTCTTATATATATATATATATATATATATCATCATTATTAAGACCCTTTTACCTGCCCAAGACACTACAAGCAGGTGGTAAACTGCATCAATAAACAATTGAGGCAAAATTAAATTATTTTTTGTTAAATTTAAATTTAAAAAAAAAAAAAAAATTGTATTGACAAAGATTAATTAGTGTCAAACTTAGATGCCTTTATTTTCAGCAACTATTGATCATGCTTACTTGCCATTTGCCTTTGATTTCGCCGCGTTATGTTTTTTTAGGTCATTCACAGCATCGCATGTGAACGAGGCACTGTGCTTAATTACTCTGGAAGGACATACTAAATATGAAGAAAAAAATGATCTCCTTTGAATATAATCATGACTTCATGAATTGGCTGCCCTCTTTCCTTTTGAGCCTGTGGGTGAATGTGCTTCATATGATGCAGAGTGACCTTGGCAGACTCCTGCTAGGGTGTGCCAAGGTTTCTTACAGCACCCACACGTATTACACTCTGTGGGACTGAGGTATAGGAGGTTAATAGATATAGCTAAAGAAAGGCCAGAAATAGCTCATGACTCGTGTTCTAAGAATAAGGAGAGGCAGTTTATTTTAGTACAGGGTTGTTAAAAGGAAGGAAATGTTGATGGGTTCTGAAGAAAGACAGGCATTTTTGTATTTTTATGAGATATTCTGAACAACAGGGTATTCTAATTACCTCTGAGTTAATTTTATGAAAGTACATGTAGTTGCGATCACGTGTTTGTGTCATATTTCTTGAGAAACCATTAGGTTTGATTACCTTGTGTGCCTGAAAATGAGTGATATACATCCCCTTTATTCTAGTTAAAGCTCATAGAAAGAGACATTTAAAAAAAAAATGCTATAATGTGCTGGATAAAGATATGGTTATCATTGTCCTGTAGAGCTTTGGCCTAGTTGATATGTCTCTAGACTATGGCAAGACATTAATCTACACTTGCCACCCTCCACCCAGGTGACATAAATGACTAAAATGAGTACCTGGTAGGAAGACATTATCTGATGCCCCTAAGAACGCCTTATCAGGGCTGCTAGGATAAAGCCGTGGAACAGCGCGTTGAAAAAATTGTGTTATTAAAACGCTACTTCAATGTTACTATGTTATAATTATTGTTATTATTACAAGCACAGTATGTGAAGTTTTATGTGACTGAGTTGTTGCAATGTAATCTTCTTCAAGTTGATTTGACTACATCCTTCATGAGAACATGTTTTCCAAAAGAGACATCCCACTGTAATCTCAAAATCACTCAAATCCTTGCAAGTCATACCAGGTATTCTATCAAAGTAAAGATAGACGTATATTTTAAATTCATTGGATTGCAACACTGTTTTATTACTTTAATATTCTTCTTGAATATAATGTTCATTTGAGAGCATGATTATTAGGAAATTAGTTTGATTGAATGCTTCCTGATTGAGTTAAAAAAAAACAGTATTGGCTCGAAGCTATGAGTGGTCATTAGACATAACCTAATTCATACCCAAGCATTCTTTATTATGAGAACTGAGCGAGAGGGTCGTCTGTCGGTATGTTAATCTCTTAATGCTACTTGATAACTTGTGAGATTTTTATCACTATGAGCCAGACAATGATTTTAATGCCCAGTTAGCATTCATGCATAAATTCTCTAGATGTAGGAGTTTTCCTGAAAGTTTGCTCTGTGTTGCTCGGGCCATCATGAGCAAATTATATTTTGTTCATGTTTTCTTGTGACATTTTTAATAATCATTTGTTTGATCAATAGTTTTGTAGTTTCTGTCTATTTTGCTGTCCTTGATTACTGTTCACAGCTTTTGCCCCTGAATTTGACTCCTCTCTACATGTACCTGTTCATGTTTTCTCTTACCCCCCCCCCCTCCCTTTTCATTTTTCTTACATATGTGCTCTCTCCCTCCCTATCTCTCTTTTTCTCTCTCACTCTCCCTCCACCTATCGTCACATCGCTCTCATCTTGGGACTTCCATCTCTCTCTCTCTCCTCCACTTATCTCTCCATCTCCATCTCCTACCCCCCCCCCTTTTCATTTTTCTTACATACTGTATGTACTCTCTCCTATCTCTCATTTTCTCTCTCACTCTCCCTCCACCTATCATCACATCGCTCTCATTTTGGGAATTTCCTTCCATCTCTCTCTCTCTCTCTCTCTCTCTCCCTTCTCCCTTCTTCTCTTCATTCCTACCTTCCTCTCTTTCTCTCTCCCCTCTCGCCTTTCCCCCTCTCTCCTTCTATCCCTTTCTCTCTTTTAATCCCTTTTAATCCATCCCTTCTTCTCTCTCTCTCTCTCTCTCTCTCTCTCTCTCTCTCTCCACACATCCCTCCTTCTCCACCGATCCCTCCTTCTCCACCGATCCCTCCTTCCCCCTCTCCATCCCATCACTCTATCTCTCTCATCTTCAAGGCACTTGTTGATTTTCCTCCATCCTCCCTCCCTGTACATCACGGCTGAGTCACTAGCTGTCCCCCTCATCACAGACCTACATGTACCAGGATTGTCAATTGACGACTTCCCTGGGAGTTTAGCAGGGTGTCCTTGATGTTGAACTCCTGACAAAAGGCCTGTCTTCGTCAGCTCGAGATTGCCAAATATCCCGCTATTTCTGATTTGGGAAATAATCCTGAAGTTACAAGTCGCGTCTTCATCTGCACGAGACTCTACCTCTAAACTCAAAACTCGAGCTCGAGAAATTAGCTCCAGATAGTTTGCTCAGCGGTCGCGCATAGTGCGAGTCTTTGGGCTGGTGAAGCCGCACTGATCAAATAGCGGGATATTTTGCAAACTAGCCCAAGATATCTTAGGATGATTATCTCGACCAAATATCCCGCTAATTGCAACTGCGGGCTGATGCAGACGCAAAATAGCTGGATAATTTGCGATCGGGATAGTTAAAATAACGGATTATCTGGCAATCTCGAGCTGATGAAGACAGGCCTAAACAGGGCTCTCTGTCCCCTGCAGGAAACTCCTCT